CCTGTTCCATCAGTAGTCTCCAAATCCATTTCCCCAGCAAAGCCGTGTTTCTTAATCTTATATTTCCTAACCCAAGACCTCCATCATCCCTACTCCTAGAAACCACCTCCCACTTCACTAAGTGATCCTTCTTAGTATCCCTTGGTTCCCACAAGAAATCCCTCATTATCTTCTCTAATTCGTTAGCTACTTTCATTGGTACTCTAAAGGTAGACAGGAAATAAACTGGCAAGTCATTCATCAAAAAATAAATTGGCAGGTTGGCCAAGGTTGACTTGATTAAGATTATCCTACCCCCTAAAGAGATGTAATTCCATTCCAATTTGCCAACCTCTTGGAGAATCTTTCAATTACAAGGTACCAAAAACTCTCAACCATTAGGTTTCCTCCCAATGGTAGCCCCAAATATTGTAAAGGCCAGCCCCCCACTTCATACCCCAAAATCCTAGCTAGGGAATCCACCTCCTCTCCCCCTAAATTGAGCCTTGCCACACAACTTTTTCCCCAATTCACTTTAAGATTGGACTTCCCTTCAAATTGAAGCATTAGACTCTTTAAGTTCCGTAATTCCCCTTCCTCCCCGTCACAAAACAAGATGATGYCATYTGCAAATTGTAAGTGTGTGACCACCACCTCCTCCCTACCAATCCTCCAACCTCTTACCAAATTGTTAGCATCAGCCCTCGAAACCATGGCACTCAACACATCAACTACTAGGGTAAAGAGGAATGGGAACAATGGATCTCCTTGCCTAATACCCCTCTTTGCAGGTGTTTTTGGGAAGACACTTGGTTTGGTGACCGACCTTTAAAGGATTTGTTTCATTCCTTGTATCCCATTTCCTTGTACAAAAATGAGGTGATTTCAAGTTTTAAGGTCCATCCTATTTCACCTTTAAGTCACATTTGGGACGTTGGGTTTCGAAGGGGGTTGAGGGATGAAGAAGCTACTTGCTTGTCAAAGCTTCTCCTAGTTCTTGATAAAGTTTGCCTAGAGACTTCAAAACCAGATAGGAGTGTTTGGTGTCCAAATCCTAAACGCTTCTTCTTTTGTGCCTCTTTCTTTAAAGCTCTTTGCCCGTCCCCTTCTCTCAATCTTTTCCTTGGAAGGAAGTTTGGTTTCAGTCGGTTCCCCCTAAAATTAAGGCTTTTTGCTGGGAAGTTGAATATGGGAAAATTAACACTTTGGATTACTTGCAAAAGAAGAGTTTTTGTGTATTTCTCCAAATTGGTGCACTCTTTGTAAATCAGATGGTGAATCTTGTTACCATCTACACAAGATGGTAATTTAAGAGCACTCTGTTCAAGACAATAAGAGACAAGGATGGGAATTTAAGAATACTCTATTCAAGACAGAAGGGCTGAACTCTATGCAGTCATATAAGGTGTACAGATTGAAAGAGAGATAGGCTTGAAGAATTTGGTAATAAAAGGGGACTCCAAGGTGGTGATGGGCTGGCTTAGAGATCCAGACTCAGTGATATGGTGTAATAGAAATGCAATGAAGAAATTCAAATGGGTAAGACAACATATGAATTTGACTATACTATGGGTGGGAAGGGAGGTTAATGCATCTAGCCAAGCAAGGAGTAAGTAGGGATCAGTTGTATTGGGCCCAATAGTAATTTTATTCTGTTTTTTTTTCTTTTAAAGTGTGAGGCTGCACCACGCACCTCCCCTTGGCATGTTTGTAACAGACTTTTATCTTTTTGCTGATAATGAATTTTAATGAACTTTTATCTATAAAAAAAAGCCTCGTCACCTAGGTGTACACCTAAGGCGTGACATTGACAACTATGTCGTCAATGATTGGTGAACCAGCAAATGCATTTGCAACTCCTTTGGAAATACTACCACAATGGTACTTCTTTTCCATGCTTTACCTTTTCTCAAAAAAGGTATCCATGGAACATTGACAGTAGGATTTGGGTTCCCCGGCCCAAAGAGACCTTCTCTTGTGCTTCTTTTTTTTAACTCCCTTTGTTAGTTTCCCTCTCAACATGTTTTCCCTTCAAAGGAAATTTGGTGCAGGTCAGTTCCCCCAAAGATAATGGCTTTTTGTTGAGAAGTATATCATGGGAAAGTGAACAGTTTAGATAACCTACAAAAGAGAAGACCTTTCCTTTGTGTTTCACCCAACTAGTGTACTCTCTGTAGAGCTCACAGGGAGGATTGTTATCACCTACTAATGTCTTGTCCTTTTTCTGCAAAAAAAGAGGGAGAATCATGTGGAAATGTGCTAGAGCAGCCTTGCTATGGACAATTTGGGAAGAATGGAATGCCAGAATCTTCCAAGACAGAGAGGAGAAGCCAAGATTTGAAGGTGTGTTAAATCGGGCAATCCACTAGCTAAAGACTCTGGAACTTTTCCTTTTCAGACTAAGGGAGAAATTGGCGAGCAGTAGCAAGGTGCTCTTCTAGGAAGACTAAGGCAACTACAAGATGGATTCCACCGCCTGAAGGTTCAATGAAACTGAATTTTGATGGGAGCAGTCAGGGCAATCCAGGGCACTCTGGAATGGGAGGGGTCTTAAGAAATGAGGCTGGAGATATTGTACTTCTTTATTCAGGTCCTTTGGGATTTGGGGATTCGGTCAGAGAAGAACTATTAGAAGCCATACAAGGAGTGCAACTTGCAAATCAATTAGGAGTAGGACAGCTTGTTATAGAAGGGGGTTCCATGGTGGAGGTGGGGTGGTTGCAGAAACCTGAGGAAACTATATGGTGCAAAAGAAATGAAGTCAAAAAATTTAAGTGGACGACAAGGAATATGTCTGTTAGTACACAATGGATGGGGAGATCAGCAAATGCTTTGGCTGATGGCTTAGCTAAGCAAGGGACAAATAGGGAAGTCTTGTTTTCGAATCAGCTGTAATGCTTGTCTTTTACCTTTAAGTTTTTATGTAATCAGTTGAGAGAGGCTGCAACTCGCACCTCTCCACGGGCTGTTGTATGAGTTCTCCATTATCTATAGTAGTAAGTATCAAATTCATCATCTGATATCCACAACCATCTTTTTTCAAATTGTTATGCATATGATATATTACCAAAAGGGAACTTATATGCAGAACTGATTTAGATTGTACTTCAATTTTGGCTTATTGTAGCTATAGCTGTGTAACCTTTTTGCTTCTGTATTGAACCGCATCTGCCCCTGCTAATTAACTCCTATTAGAAGGGGTCCTTTCAACTTTATTTTATAAAACTTCTTTGATTGGGTGTTAAAAAAGAGAGGGAAAACTGCAAATTCATATATGCATCTTCAAAAGAAAATTGTTTTGTGGTGGAAGGGGATTGAGGTTGGCAAATAACTTAATTTCAGGAATGGAAGGGGTTACAAAAGTTGTAGTGCACTGGTCGAGGAACAAGAAACAGACTTCTTGCATGTCATGAGGAAAATCAAGCATTGTCAAGAGAGGTGGTAGTCACTTTTACTTGGGTAGAAGAACCAATAATTTGGCTGATTGAATGGCAAAACAAGAGGTGAATAGGGCACAACCATTTGGGGGGAATATACCATAATGATGTACAAATAGAAAATGGGGTTGGGTAACAAGAGCTAATCCAAGAAGAAATTTTATCATCCTATTGTTTGTACCATTGTTTTATTCATAGTAATAAAATTTCCAACCATTAGCAATCAAAAAAAGAAGAAAAATGTTTTTGAGTAAGACAAAAAGGAAGGAATTATGAGTCCATATTTAAAAAAAGATAGTTAAAAATAAGCAGCTTTCAGGGTGCTACTGTATATACAGCAGCATTTCTTCAATGCATCAATGATGGGAAAGCATGGCAACTGAAGCCCTGTGGATCTTATGAACATAATGCCAATGAATTCATAATAGTATATACGCTTCCACAATGTCCGAATGTCTGTAAAGTAAATTCCCTTTATAACAATCATTTCCCGTGATTTCCTAAGGGAGAAAACTTGTAAAAAAGAAAAAAAAAATGGAAAGGGACACGAGCAGCAGCAAGACCAAATTTAGGGGGTGCTATGACACATTCCTTCATGTACAGAATTCTTTTATTCGTAAACTAAAAAGGGTATTGACCTTCCCATGTGCCAGAGAAGTTCAGATAAAAATGGCTGTACTGTTTTCTTTCTCACTCCACATGTTTGGTTTGATACTCCAACTAATAAGTATGTTTAGGACTAGAAGAAGAATACGCACATCAATCTACAATCACATAACTAAGGTTAAAAGATGGGTATCAAGAAATTGACAAAATAGACTCTTTACCATCTTTCTACAAGAAAGATATGAATTGTTTGAAGCTCATTCACTTCACAAGCTTAGGGCTGTCAATGGGTTGGGTCTACCTGACAGATCGAAACCAGCCAAACCAATTATGCTGGTTCTGGTTCTGTGAGCTTGCCCCGATTAGAAATTGGGTCGAAACTAGTTCTTGCTGTTCTCAATAGATTATATAGTTAATAAAATATAAATATCTTTGTTTTGTAATTTTTGTTATATTTATGTCTAAAAGAGTAAATTTCATAAACAATACAGAAGATTATCACGGTTAGAAACACATATTTTATCAAAATATAAACAGTTTAGTATTTTAGTTTCAGTTTTATTAAGGTTATATCATCAAAACTAAGTGGTTCAGTTCTAGGTCCTTATTATCCCAATTAATAAATGGAAAGAAACACATATTTTATCAAAATATAAACAGTTTAGTATTTTAGTTTCAGTTTTATTAAGGTTATATCATCAAAACTAAGTGGTTCAGTTCTAGGTCCTTATTATCCCAACTAATAAATGGAAAGGGACAGGTACACCCTGTCCCAAACCAGATCCGACCCATTCAAAGCTCTATACAAATTTCAATTTCTTTCTACATGGATGTTTTCCTGTTATGAGAACCATCAGGTCGCATCTGAAAACTTAGGTGCATATACCAACATAATTTCTGACTTCTGTTGCTTTATCTCATATCGAGAACTTCAAATCACAACAATGTAGGTATATTCAAGTCACTAGAATAGCATACCTCAGAGCTAGATTCCTCATGTGCAGGTTTCATTTGAGTATCCTTATCTGAAGCTGCTCTTCTGCGTGCAGCATTTCTTGTTTGAGGTCCTCTTGTCTCATCTGGAGCAGATTTCAAAACAGCTTTGCCCTTCCCCTTTAAAGAGCTTGAATTACTCTCTTGAGGAGGATCCTTCCTGGTTGAACCTCCAATGGTTACTGATGATCTGGATCTAGTTGAATGGCGGCAAGTGGAAGATGCAGGTGAAGATACAGATGAAAATGAAACACCAGCCCCGGCAGGTGCAGAACCAGGCTCAGAGTTTCCTGAAGATACCGAAAGTTTCTGTGCAGATTCACCTCGCTGCACTCTTGGCCAAAGAAATTCTTCAACGGCAGCCAAACTTGCAAGGGGATCAATCAATACAACATTTGATGAATAATCACGAAGAGACTTTTCTCCTTGATCCCTACACAGGCGCAGCTTAAATGGCTGAGCCAACGCACTCAATCCCAAGGAAAGGCGTGCACTTCCACTAGATGACCTAGAGGAATGGCTCAATACAACTGGAAAACGCTCCAGGGAAGATAGAGCATTTTGAAGCTTCTGAACCAAGACAGTCATAGGAGCTCCATTCCCTTCATTAACACCAGCAGGAAGAGCAACAGCAATAAAAGATTTAAATCTTCCAAGTGCTTGTTGCTGAAGTTTAGCCAGGTTAGCTTCTGATATTCTCTCCTTGGAGAAGGTTCCACAGGAAAAGTAGTTCAGTAAAGCTGCAACAACTCCACTACCAATGAACTCAAATGTGGAAACACCATCACCTTTACTTAATTCTGTTAGCATTTCAGATATCACTCCAATTAAGTTCTCCTCAGTATTAGCTGAAATGTCAGCTAGACGAGGGCCAGAAGCTTTTGATTTACCCTTTGCTTTAGTCTTCTGATCATCAACACAAGCATTCAACTTCAGGCAAAGATTTTTTAAACGCATAAGGTCATCAGTAACACCAATTTCAGCTACCCCAGTGTCTGCCAAAAAATATTTATCTTTAAATGATTTTGCACAAGAACTTACAGCAATGCGAAGACTAGAATTAACCATTGGGATTTCTAATGATACTGGTGGTGAACCAACACTTCCAGGTGGAACAGTTTTCAATTCTTCCAAAACACTTCCATCTGGATTTGAACTACCACTGCGCCGTCGATAGCGCCTAGAACGTGATGATCCATGTATAGAATCATTATCCTTCTCCATAGAAGAAGATTGGGCATTGGCTGCATTTGAAGAATCAGTTGATATAAGTGTGTCTACAGCGTGAACCACCCCTTCTCTCACAAACACCTTGGAGAATGTTCCTGGAAGCTTTTCCATGAGAATCTCAGCTATCTGAAGGGCAGGAATCAAGACTTGTGGATCTTTCCATGCTAAAACACCAGCTAAGAAACTGGCAGATCAAACAAAAAAAAACAATAATTAAGCTTTTATATCATGCATGAAAAAGAAAATTTCTCATCTGCAGTGGAAAACAAATGTAGCATGCAAGAAAAGGGGTAAAATATTTTGAATACCTTGATATATTTGTTACACTTAGAAAAGACTGAATCATATCTGCTGTGCTAAAATACATCAACTTTCCAATTACTGACAAGCATTTGTGGCGAACTGGACCATTTACACTGGATCCATAGATCTGCTTGACAAGAAAAGTACGGGGAGTGAAAGTTATGATCCCAATTATCACTTACTTTGAGGAAGTAGGTTATAGCCTCTTAGGTACCACATGAACATATTGGAAGCACTTACCTGTATTAGTACAGGAAGTAGGTCCATTCCAAACTGCTGCAGAAGCTCAGGCTGATCACGCAATAATTTCTCACGAGCAGAAACCTCATGCACAGTTCCATTTGCATCCTCTCGCTTTCCAGAACTACTGACAGGAGATTTCTTTGTGGCAGATCCTTTCACTAGATAATTTGAGCAAATTGGAAGAGAAATAATTCCTTGAGGCAGAGGGGGAAGAAGCTCATCCGCAAGGTTCACAATCTCAAAAATCTAATCCATGGAACATAATCCACCAAAATCAGATAAAATGAACACCAGATGAATAATACCATTTTGCACTATAATTTCCTTTTTTTGGAAGTTATTTTTTAAGTTTCTTATTTTTCACATTTAAGTTCTCTTAGAATTTGAAATGTATGAATACTGATATTCAGTATTCTCATAAAATACACTGTTAAAGAAGATTTATGTTAAAAAGAAAATATGATAGCGTGCAACACCAATTATGTGTTATAAAGGTAAATCAAATCAGGCATTTCTTGTATTTAATCAAAGTACTTTTCAGCTATTAGTTAGAGTGTGCCTTGCTTAGCAAAAACGGGATACACTCCAATACCACTCCATCAAAAAATATCAAATAAAGAGAAAACGAAGAGAAGCAATAGAGGTATACACCTCCACTATAGAGGAATATGAGGTGTACACCTCTGTTGCACTTTATACAGGAGAAATACACCTCATATGACCTTACCTTTTAAGCTACTTTTTAGTAAAAATAATATAAACAAGAGACAAGGGAACCATTTTACTGTGTTCCCCATTTATACTGACATAATACAAAGGATGAAAACCCTCCAAATGTGCTTACTGTAATTTTACAATAAAATGTCATAAATAGAAGTAGGGGCACCATAGCTTTGGTTTCTTTTAATGCACTACATTCATTTGAATATGAGGTGGCACACTTGTTTATGTTAATTCTGAACTTTTGTTTCCTTTATTTTTGATAAATAGTGAAATTTCATTAAAAATCAGAGAGAAACAATAGAGATACATCATTAAGACATCTCAACTAGAGGTGCAAGGTTCAGCTTCAGGTCTCAAACATAAATTACAGCTAAGCCCAAAACAATTGAACCCTGTTCACCCCTTGTTTAGCTAAAAAGTCAGCTAGCCCATTTGCCATCCTCCTTTCCCATTGGATCCTTATTTCCATGTTGGAAGTCCACTATTTAAATCTCTTGAGTAACTCCATAATACTTTACTCGGATTCTTCAGCCAACCAACCACTACCATAGAGTCCCCTTCAATGAGTAACCTGTTAAAGTTCAAATTCTTAGCGATCTGTACCCCCCCTTGTAGCACAGCTTGTAACTCAGCATGAGTCACCATCCCCTATTGGTCCAGAATATAACGCCACAATGTGACCATTCTTATCTCTGTAAACTCCCCTTATTCCTGAAGGTCCCAGATTCCCTTGACAAGTGATATATTGATGGCTAATGATACGAATACAATTATGGATGATGATACTTTAATTCTATATTTAAAAGAGGTGATTTTATTAGTAGAAATTGCATATATGGATTTTTCAAATTTCTCATAAATTTTCCTATTCTCATGTATTTTTACTATATTTTTATTTATTCGTTTTATCTTATTTTAATTATTTATTAATTAAAAATCCTTGCTACTCTTGTGTTCCGGTTTACACCAAACACCTTAGGATGGTGCTTGGTTCAAAGTACCAATACTCTCAATATGCAAATTTTACAGAAATTCTTTTTTTAGAAGAAGATGCTGGCGATGAAGGAAGTTGGGGAGGACGAATTGTTGAAGCAAGTGCAGCTGCTGATGAGCAGTCCTCTAATCCCATCGTTGAAGGGACTGACCCAGGTTCTCAAGATTCATAGGACTTGTACGGTGGGTGACAAAATTCTATCATGAGGTTGGATGAAGATACTTCAGGATTGGAAACAATGAGAAAGTGTCTTCAAACAAGTAGGTTAGGCGAAAGTGTCTACCACTTCTGCAACCCAACTTTCTCCAGCTAAGGGGAAGGCCTCAGAACCAAATGAAAAGGCTTTGCATTCTAGTCCTTTTGCTTCGTGTGCTCCCTCTGTCTACCCAGGTACAACTGTAAATTCAGTTTTAGTGGCTGACTTGTGTTCTGTGCCTGAAACAGGTGCACCAACATCCCACCCACAAACAGAAGACTGCACAAGGGAAAGTTTAGAGGGAGAAGGTAGAGAGAGGAGATGTCAGTAAGGGGGTGTGGGAGGCAGACAAAATCTGGAATTTGCACTGAATTCGAGATTTTGCAACAGAAGGAAGATACAGTGGAGAAGAATGGCCAACATGAAAGTGAAGGAACAAAATTAATTTCAGAAAGTGAGAAAGGGGAGCAAAAGGCTGAGAAACTGGGGGGAGGGGGAAGAAGAGATGAAAAATGATGCTAAGGAGAATGAAGGAAAACAGGAAAAGAAAAAGAAAGAAAAAACGGAGATGGAAAGGTTAATCTCTGATATTGAGGGGGACTTAGAATTCAGTGGTAGGGGGGTAGGAGGAAAGGTCTCAAGTAAGGGATTGAGACAAGAGTTTTGGGGTCCTTTTAAGTTGCCCTCATGAAAACCATTAACTGGAATTTGAGAGGCTTAGGAAGTGCGAGAAAGAGAAGGGTGATTAAGGATTTACTAAAAAGGGAAAAGCCTGAAATTGTGCTATTGCAAGAAACAAAACTCTCAGAACCGGATGAAAGGTGGATTAGGAGCTTTTGGAGATCTAGGGGTATAGGTTGGAACTCAGCTCCCTCTTGGGGAGCCTCAGGGGGAATCATCACTCTTTGAAGAGGATGTTGTGGTGGAATCAGTAGAGGAATTGATAGTTCGATAGGTAGATTTTCAGTCTCAATTAAATTCAGGAATGTAGTGGATGGTTTTGTTTGGGTTGTAACCAATGTTTATGGCCCTAATAGTTACAGAGAAAGGAATAAAATGTGGGAGGAGTTGTATGCAATTCAGGGCCTAAGGGATGGTCGCTGGTGCTTGGGGGGGGATTTTAATGTTACACAATTCACCGAAGAATCTAGCAGTCCCCAACAGACAATTACAACTAGTCTAAGGAAATCCAATGGCTTTATTGAAGATTGTGAGCTAAAGGAAATCCCACTTTTGAACTCTAGATTCACCTGGTCCAACCTAGAGGAAAATCCCCTCTGCTCGAAACGGGATAGATTCCTTTTTTAACTTAGACTGGGAGAATCATTGGGGGGGAGATTTGGTTTCCAGAGCCTTGCCTAGGGTCACCTCTGTTCACTATCCCATCAAAATAGGGGTGAAGTCATTTGTCAATGGACCTAGACCTTTCAGATTTGAAAACATGTGGCTAGCTCACACAGATTTTGTGAATAAAATGAAACAATGGTGTGGTGAGGAGTTAAGCAGTGTAAAATGGAAGGGCATAAAATTCCATAAGAAATTGCAAAGACTAAGATGCAAAATTAAAGAGTGGAGTAGGGATCATTTTGGGAAAACTGAGGAACAAAAAATGAGATTAATCTCTTCGATTGAAGAATTGGATGAAAAAGAATCTCAAAATAATTTGAATGAGGCGACCGAGAATTGAGAAGACAGTTGAAGAAGGACCTAGAAGAGGTGCTTTTGAGAGAAGAAATTAGCTGGAGGCAGAAATCAAGGCACAAATGGATTAAGGAAGGCGACGGGAATACTAGATTCTTTCATGATTTAGCAAATGGAAGGAGGAAGAATTTTATGACCAAATTAGGAGAGAAGGTGATTACCAACTAGGGTGAGATAGCCATGAAGTTTGTGGACCAATTCAAGTCCATATTTAGAAAACCCTTGAATGAGAGATTAGTGGTGGAAGGGGTGAATTGGCCAAGGGTGACCGAGGAAAGGTTAGGTGGTTAGAAAGGAATTTTGAGGAAGAAGAAATTAAACAAGCAGTGCTTTTAATGGACAGAGATAAGGCTTCGGGCCTTGACGGATTCACAATGGCTTTCTATCAAGATTGATGGGAAATAATAAAAGATGATTTGTGCGATGTTTTTAAGGAATTTGAAGAAACACACATAGTAAGCCATAGAGTCAATGCTACTTTTTTTGCTCTAATCCCTAAGAAGCCTGATGCTAGCCATCCAAAAGATTTTAGGCAGATTAGTTTGTTAACGAGCATTTACAAAATCTTGGCTAAAGTGCTCTCCTGAAGTATTAAAGCAATTGTCCCCTCCATTATTAGTCAAGCCCAAGGGGCTTTTATTCACGAGCGACAAATAACTAAACAAATCTTGATTGCCAATGAATGTGTGGAGGAGATGAAAAGGTCTAGAAAAAGAGGCTTTGTTTGTAAATTGGATCTTGAGAAGGCATACAATTTGGTGGATTGGTGATTTCTTTTAGAGGTGTTGAGGAAGTGCGGGTTTGGGCAAAGGTGGTGTAGCTGGATACTTGGGTGTATTAGTACCTATCATTACTCAATATTGGTGAATGGAGTAGTGGAAGACTTCTTTCCAACTTGTAGGGGTGTTAGGCAAGGGGACCCACTTTCACCTTTCCTTTTTACCCTAGTAGTTGATGTTTTCAGTTGAATCATCACTAAGACCGATAGGGAAGATCTTATAAGGAGGTGGAGGATAGGTAGAAATCGAATCCCAGTCACCCATCTTCAGTTTGCAGATGACTTGATGATTTTCTGTGATGGGGGTGCTAGTGAAAAGGTAGCAAAGTTAAAAGAGGTGATTAGAGGATTTGAAAGAATCTCCAATTTGAAAATAAACCTGGAAAAGAGTTGTATGGCAGGTATCAATCTGGAGGATATGGAGGTTGAAGCTATTGTAGCTTGTCTTGAGTGCTCCATCTCTTCTTGGTCGTTGCCCTACTTAGGGCTTCCGTTAGGGGCAAACCCTAGGGAGAGTAGGTTTTGGACTCCAATGATTGAAAAGTTTGAGAAGAGATTAGCATCACTGAAGAAGAACTACATTTCCTTGGGTGGTAGGATCACCTTGATAAGAGCTACCTTGGTGAACTTACCCACTTTCTTTCTGTCTTTAGGATACCGCCTAGGGAAGCTAAGAAGCTGGAGAAACTAATGAGGGATTTCCTTTGGAAACCAGGACAAGGGAAGAAGGCCCATTTGGTAAAGTAGGAAGTTGTGTACAGAAGCAAAGAAGATGGTGGGTTGGGTCTAGGTAAGTTGATTCAAAAAAATCTAGCATTGATGGGGAAGTTGCTATGGTAGTGGCCTTTGCAAAG